TTTCTTTGTCCCAAAGCCCACAAGCATAGGTTTCGCAAAGCAAAAAAGGAAAAAGAGTATCCATTAAGTGCAATTGAGTTCTCTTAGCCGCCACCGCTATATAAACAAGCAACCACACGAAGGGAATTCGTCGAAAAAAAACCGACAAATTGATAACATAAAAATCTCTTTGAAAACTGTCAAATGTTTATGTATGCAATTGTCACTCTACAGTACAACATAAACACTATCTTCACGCTCGTTGCGCGCAAATGTGAAGCGCTGCTTGAAACCACACGTTACATCAACTCATCTACCGTTGCAAGGGGGCTATACGAAGACGTGGACCTGCACAGATAACTTTCTGTCATTTCGAACTTCAAATGCCAAAGTTGAAACAATTCCGGTGATTAATGTCGCTAAAATCATCAAAATACCGAATATGGAGATGTACTTATATATGGGGGCTATATGAAAACGTGGACCTACATGGCCCCTTTTTCGAACTTAACCTGCCTACTGGAAAAATAAACACGTGTCCAAAATTTTAGCCTTTTATCTAAATTCGTTCAAAAGATAGCGTGATTACAACATACAGACAGACGGACAGGCAGACGGACAGGGCTTAGAATTAGAATTAGGGGATATACGATATTATGGACCTATATAGACAAATCTCAGTCTGGGGGTAAAGTACTCACAAAGAACTCCTTGTATATAATTTCAGTCAATTCTGTTTAAAAATGTTGCTAGAATCATCAAAATACCGAATATCGGGGGGTACCGTTATATGGGGGCTATACGATATCATGGACCTATATAGATAATTCTTTTCTAAGGAATAAAGTACCCACAAGGAACTCCTTTTCAGATAATTACATTAAAAAATGTGTCTAAAATCATCAAAATACCGAATATCGGGGATACCGTTATAAGGAGGATATACAACATCGTAGACCTATGTAGACAATTCTCTTTCAGGGGGTGAAGTACTCACAGGGAACTCCTGTGTGGATTTTCAGACAATTTCGTTGAAAATTGTGGCTGAAATCATCAAAATACCGAATATCTGGGGTACGGTTGTATGGGGGCTATACCATATCGTGGACCTATACAGACAATTCTCTTTCAGGGAGTAAAGTGCTCATAGGGAACTCCTTATGGTGATTTTCAGACAATTCCATTAAAAAATGTGGCTAAAATCATAAAAATGCCGAATATAGGGGCTATACGATAGCGTGGACCAATATAGCCCATCTTCGAACTTGACCTGCCTGCAGACAAAAGACAGATCTATGCAAAATTTTAGCCTCCTATCTTAATTCGTTATGACTGTAGCGTGATTACAACAGACGGACAGACGGACTAAAATGATGAGTTACAAACGGAATGACGAACTTAATATACCCTCCATACTATGTATAGAGGGTATAAAAAATGAGGTTGTACACATTTGTTTCCACAAAAGAAAACATATACAGAAATATGTAAGGTGCCTTTAGAGAAAGTAGATAAATAACAAAAGAAGAAAGAATAACAATAAAAATCAGTATACAAGGAGATAGTTGATAAAATACATACAGAACACAAAAGATTAAAAGGGGAACCAAGAACAGCAAAAAACAAGTAAAAAAGCTGTAAGTTCGGCCAGGCCGAACTTTGAATACCCTCCACCATTTGGTACGAATTTAACAATTTTCAAAAAAAAAAATAAAACAAGTAAAAAAGCTGTAAGTTCGGCCGGGCCGAACTTTGAATACCCTCCACCATTTGGTACGAATTTAACAATTTTCAAAAAAAAAAGAAATAAAAGGATTTTAAAATTCTGTTAAAATCATGTAGCCGTATATTAGAGTCTATATGGCGACGTGGACCTGCATAGGCAACTTTTGTCACAAGGCAACTTATATCACAATATTCAAATGCGAAACTTGAAAAAAATCTGTTTACAATGTAGATAAAATCGTCAAAATCCTCGGATATAGGGAGGTACCAAGGTGGTTATAAAACGTGGATCTGCACAGAAAATTTTTTTCATAGGCTGTTATATCGAACTTCACGAACTTCAAATGCGAAATTTGAAACAATTCCGATAAATAATGTCGCCAAAATCATCAAAATACCGAATATCGGGGTGTACCGTTATATGGGGGCTATACGAAGACGTGGACCTGCACAGACAATTTTCTGTCATAGGCTGTAGTATTCATTACGAACTTCAAATGCGAAATTTGAAACAATTCCGGTAAATAGGTTCGCTAAAATCATGAAAATACCGAAGATCGGGGGTACCGTTATATGGGGGCTATACGAAGGCGTGGTTCTGCACAGACAATTTTCTGTGATAGGCTGTAGTATTCATTACGAACTTCAAATACCAAATTTGAAACCATTCCGGTAAATAATGTCGCTAAAATCATCAAAATACTGAATATTGGGGGGTACCGTTATATGGGGGCTATACGAAGACGTAGACCTACATGGCTTATTTTCTGTCGTAGGATATAGTATTCATTATGAACTTCAAATACCAAAATTGAAGCAATTTCGGTAAATAATGTGGCTAAAATGATCAAAATACCGAATATCGGGGGGTACCGTTACATGGGGGCTATACGAAGACGTGGACCTACATTGCCCATTTTCTGTTTTATGCTGTAGTATCTATTAAAAACTTTAAATACCAAATTTGAAACAATTCCGGTAAATAATGTAGCTAAAATCATCAAAATACCGAATATCGGGAGGTACAGTTATATGGGAGCTATCCGAAGACGTGGACCTATATGGCCCATTTTCAATACCAAAAGTCCTGCAGACATAGTACACATTTGAGTAAAATTTTATCAACCTACTTCATTTCGTTCGGAAGCTAGAGTGATTTCCACAGACGGACGGACGGACAGACGGACGGACATTGATAAATCGACATAGAATTTTATGCTGATCAAGAATATATATACTTTGTGGGGTCTAAAATGTATATTTCGAGGTGTTACAAACGGAATGACAAACTTAATATACCCTCCATACTATGGTGGAGGGTATAACAAAAGTACGTTGGGTACAGTACACCAAAGCAAGAGATAGAAACATACAGTGATTTGTAGTAAGATAACTTTTGTCGAAAAATTTTATGAAACTGTGCTATTCATCAACGGAAAGAGCTGAGAGGTTAGTAGTGGATACACAGGAAACATTAAAACTTTGGAATACTGAAACAATACTTGGATAATCCTAATTCCCGTCCACTGCTGTGTCATCGTATCCTCTTGTCAGAACACTAGTTAACCGGAGTCATCGACGCGAAACACCTATCGAAAAAGGTTATCTGTATGTAGAATATATTACTCGATTCGAAACATTTCATATTGCATGACCATTAATTTTCATATTACGAGTGACTACATTAAAAGCAAACTGAGCAATTAGCGATATACCATTGACACCATATTTCAATAGTCTTTACTGGAAGTCTAAACAAAAAAACATATCGTGATCGTTCACATTTGTTATTTGAGATTTAGGGTTTTCGTACTCTAATGTTCTCACACCTTACTTTACATTGTTTCTTATTGCAATTCTCGTTTATAAATGTTTAGTCTTAAAATATTTCCCAAAATTAGATCTAAATATTACCCAAAAAGTTAGCGTGAAACTGTTGACTTTTCAGTCAAGGTTGGAAATTCACACATCTTAATATTCTGATTAGAATATTTATCTACAAGTAGAAGCTTCAACTAAAATAGAGAATATTTTGTAAAGTTGGGGTCATTTTGTTTTTTTAAATGAGTACACATAACGATGTTGCTGGAAAAATTCCACTAAAATTCATTTTCTTCTCTGATCAATTTGTCACATTTTGTGCCAACTTCCAACAAGCACCTATTGAGAACCATACAGCTTCTCGTTTGCAGATGGTATTGGATGACTAAGAAAGACGATGGAAGCAACTTGTTCAAATATATGAAAGTGAAATGACGTCCGAAGACGCCACCTTAACCAAAGACATGAGTGTCTCCATTAATTCCAAATTTAGCGAAACCTGTAAATCATACAAAGGATGCAAAGCTTTTATTCTGAATCAGTATATGTGAGGTCTTCCTTCTGGCTCAGGTAAGATAACGATAAGGTAAATAAGAAAAAGGGGAGGGGGTAAACATCAATGGACACCTGTGTAAATAAGATAGGGGTAGGGGTGGGGGTAAACATCAACGGGGCACCTTTGTAAATGAGATAAGGGGAGGGGGATTAGCGGTAATAAGTTATGACAAGTTCGGATCGATCTAGTTTTAAGTGAGGATTTATTTCACACCTAGAACAATTCAAGAAAGGGAAGGGGATTAGGGGGGCAATTACTAAATAGACATAGATCAACCCAAGTGACCATTTTGAGTAAATATTGCTACATAGGAATGTTTACATATACGATCCTATCTAGGGAAAAAACATTCAAGTGTTTTTTTTTCTAATTTTGTTTGTGTGTTTTTATTGATTGTGGTTAAATGTGCAATATTATTTTCGAATGTTTTTTTTTGTTTTAATAGTACAATATCAATAGACCGATCCCGGTCCTGTTGAAAAAGACTTGTATGCTGAAGAAAAGTGGCGCTCTTTTCTGCTGAGATTATTGTTTTTACATACCTCACAGTTTTTTTTTTTATCAACCCTTTATTTGTTTTTGCTGTTTTAACTAGAAAATTACGAGTGTTTTCTTTTCACACCTGCTTCAATAGGAAGACATTTCAAAGTCATTTTTAAGATGTGAGACCATTTTAAAGATTGAAATATTTCTTTCGTAAATATCATAAATTTTCGTGATTTTTAATAATAGGTATCAAATTATCCATATGTGTATGCTAGTGTGTGCATTATTGTTGTAAACTGAAATGAATTTTTTTCCTTTATTTATTTTAAATGAAAATCTTCATTTTCTGTTGAGACTTCGACGAAAAACCACGCTCCCTACAAATTTTTTAAATTTGTTCTCTGAATAAAAAAAAAGAAAAAAAAAATCAAAAATGAATTCAATGGGTTTAAAATCCAATATTTGCGCTGTAGAATTTGTTAACGGCATGGAATATCAAAAACACTGCGAACTACATATGTTATGTAATTTATGTAATCAGATGTTCATAAATTCTCAAGCATTAGAATTTCATTATGGAACTCATCACAATCAGCAACAACAATGTCAATATAATTTTGAACAATATCGTCATGCTGGACAATACAATAATCATGGGCAATATAAATATTCTAGAGAATATAATCAACAACTACAATCATATCAAAATAATCGCTATCATCCATATCTTTTACATCAACAACGGAAGAAAGAACTTCATAGATCACAGCAGCAACAACTTGATCAACAACAGGACCAACACAGTTTTCATCATCAACAGCAACAATATCAAACATACCAACAACAATACAATATTAATGAACAACAGTCGCAATATCACCATCATCAGCAAATGGAAAATATCGAAGGAAATGAGCAGCAACAATGTAACCAACAACAACAAATGGACAATCACGAAGGAAATGAACAAAATATTCAACAACAGATGTCTGAAAGAAAGAGGCAATCATATGTCTTTATGTATTGCGATTCGTGCAACATAAATGTGCGAAAAAATCTGTGGTTTAATCACTGTAGAACAAACTCTCACAAAGAAAAAAGTTGTACCGTCATTGATCCTAGAATGGTATTGATAAATAGTGGTTTTCAAAATCGCATTAAAACTTATCAATATAAGTGCGAAGAAACTACAATCAATATTGATGATTTCTTTTCGAAATCTAAAGATGCAATAACAAATATGATTAAACATGCTGTGGAAACGTACGCAGTTTTAAAATTTAATATAGAAGTCGTTGGTGAATATGCAAAGATATTTGAGGATGAAATCAAGGTTGTAAGCATGGGGCATATAACCAAAATGAATCAAATAACACACTCAGATGATGTTGATGAAATATTCAATACACATGCAGACTCTATAAAGAATAAGATGTCTGAATTTCAAGAAAGGGATTCTGGATGGGCTCTATCTAAAATATTGTGGCTGGAGTTGAACCTAAATAAATCTGCTCCAATTAAAGGATCGCAGTATATTAATACTCCTAAATCGTTGCGACATAAAAAAGCGTGCTGGAACTTAAAAAATAACGATAAATTCTGCTTCAAATGGTGTTTAATTGCTGCAATGGATAGTACTCCGAATAGAAATCCAACAAGGACTTCATCATACACAATTCCGGACATAAAGGCAGAAAAAATCACCCTCCGAAATGGTGTTACTCTCAATTTCGAAGGAATGAATTTTCCAGTTGAGCTGAAAAAAATATCAGAGTTTGAAACCAACAATCCAGAGATAAGCATAAATGTATTCGGATACGATAAAGAAGTTGTTGGACCCTTATACCACACAAAAGCGGAAAAGGCGAATCATGTGAATTTAATTTTACTGGCGGAGGCAGATAAGGCTCACTTCATATTAGTAAAGCATGTTTCAAGGTAAATATAATATAAACAATGTATCAACTTGTGTATTTAACATGTTGGTTTCTTTCAGATTGATTAGGAGTCAGCTTACTACTAATAGAAGAAAAATATCAATTTGTAATAGCTGTTTCTACTGCACCCCCAGAGAAGACCTTATGATTATTCACAAAAAGTATTGTAGTCGTGTCGTCACAAAAGTATTTTAGAATTTAAGAACTTTAGAAAACAAATGGACGTACCATTTGTTATTTATGCAGATTTTGAATGTGTTTTAGAGACTGTAATAGCAGGTGGGGAAAGAATTAAGAAGCATATTCCATGTGCATATGGATTCAATATTAAATGTTCATTTGATAGTAATTTAGATGTATATCATCACTATACTGGTGAGGATGCAGCTCAGAAATTTATAGAGCAATTAGATGTTTCCTGTAGAGAAATTTACAATAATTACTTGTCTCTTAATACGCCAATGAAACCGCTATCATCTATCGAGCAAAGTATATTTGACTCAGCAGTAAATTGCCATATTTGTGATAAAAATTTATGTGATGATAAAGTTCGTTATCATTGTCACGTAACTGGTAAATTTAGAGGGGCAGCTCATAATGTATGCAACATTAATTATACGGTAGCACAATTCATCCAAATATTTTTCCATAATTTTTCAGAATATGATTGCCATTTGTTTGTTAAAGAGCTTTTGACCACTATAGAGGGAAACACCACTATAATTCCTCTAACAAAAGAAAAATATATTTCTTTATCGACATAGTACACATTTGAGTAAAATTTTATCAACCTACTTCATTTCGTTCGGAAGCTAGAGTGATTTCCACAGACGGACGGACGGACAGACGGACGGACATTGATAAATCGACATAGAATTTTATGCTGATCAAGAATATATATACTTTGTGGGGTCTAAAATGTATATTTCGAGGTGTTACAAACGGAATGACAAACTTAATATACCCTCCATACTATGGTGGAGGGTATAACAAAAGTACGTTGGGTACAGTACACCAAAGCAAGAGATAGAAACATACAGTGATTTGTAGTAAGATAACTTTTGTCGAAAAATTTTATGAAACTGTGCTATTCATCAACGGAAAGAGCTGAGAGGTTAGTAGTGGATACACAGGAAACATTAAAACTTTGGAATACTGAAACAATACTTGGATAATCCTAATTCCCGTCCACTGCTGTGTCATCGTATCCTCTTGTCAGAACACTAGTTAACCGGAGTCATCGACGCGAAACACCTATCGAAAAAGGTTATCTGTATGTAGAATATATTACTCGATTCGAAACATTTCATATTGCATGACCATTAATTTTCATATTACGAGTGACTACATTAAAAGCAAACTGAGCAATTAGCGATATACCATTGACACCATATTTCAATAGTCTTTACTGGAAGTCTAAACAAAAAAACATATCGTGATCGTTCACATTTGTTATTTGAGATTTAGGGTTTTCGTACTCTAATGTTCTCACACCTTACTTTACATTGTTTCTTATTGCAATTCTCGTTTATAAATGTTTAGTCTTAAAATATTTCCCAAAATTAGATCTAAATATTACCCAAAAAGTTAGCGTGAAACTGTTGACTTTTCAGTCAAGGTTGGAAATTCACACATCTTAATATTCTGATTAGAATATTTATCTACAAGTAGAAGCTTCAACTAAAATAGAGAATATTTTGTAAAGTTGGGGTCATTTTGTTTTTTTAAATGAGTACACATAACGATGTTGCTGGAAAAATTCCACTAAAATTCATTTTCTTCTCTGATCAATTTGTCACATTTTGTGCCAACTTCCAACAAGCACCTATTGAGAACCATACAGCTTCTCGTTTGCAGATGGTATTGGATGACTAAGAAAGACGATGGAAGCAACTTGTTCAAATATATGAAAGTGAAATGACGTCCGAAGACGCCACCTTAACCAAAGACATGAGTGTCTCCATTAATTCCAAATTTAGCGAAACCTGTAAATCATACAAAGGATGCAAAGCTTTTATTCTGAATCAGTATATGTGAGGTCTTCCTTCTGGCTCAGGTAAGATAACGATAAGGTAAATAAGAAAAAGGGGAGGGGGTAAACATCAATGGACACCTGTGTAAATAAGATAGGGGTAGGGGTGGGGGTAAACATCAACGGGGCACCTTTGTAAATGAGATAAGGGGAGGGGGATTAGCGGTAATAAGTAATGACAAGTTCGGATCGATCTAGTTTTAAGTGAGGATTTATTTCACACCTAGAACAATTCAAGAAAGGGAAGGGGATTAGGGGGGCAATTACTAAATAGACATAGATCAACCCAAGTGACCATTTTGAGTAAATATTGCTACATAGGAATGTTTACATATACGATCCTATCTAGGGAAAAAACATTCAAGTGTTTTTTTTTTCTAATTTTGTTTGTGTGTTTTTATTGATTGTGGTTAAATGTGCAATATTATTTTCGAATGTTTTTTTTTGTTTTAATAGTACAATATCAATAGACCGATCCCGGTCCTGTTGAAAAAGACTTGTATGCTGAAGAAAAGTGGCGCTCTTTTCTGCTGAGATTATTGTTTTTACATACCTCACAGTTTTTTTTTTATCAACCCTTTATTTGTTTTTGCTGTTTTAACTAGAAAATTACGAGTGTTTTCTTTTCACACCTGCTTCAATAGGAAGACATTTCAAAGTCATTTTTAAGATGTGAGACCATTTTAAAGATTGAAATATTTCTTTCGTAAATATCATAAATTTTCGTGAAATCATGTTTTTAATAATAGGTATCAAATTATCCATATGTGTATGCTAGTGTGTGCATTATTGTTGTAAACTGAAATGAATTTTTTTCCTTTATTTATTTTAAATGAAAATCTTCATTTTCTGTTGAGACTTCGACGAAAAACCACGCTCCCTACAAATTTTTTAAATTTGTTCTCTGAATAAAAAAAAAGAAAAAAAAATCAAAAATGAATTCAATGCGTTTAAAATCCAATATTTGCGCTGTAGAATTTGTTAACGGCATGGAATATCAAAAACACTGCGAACTACATATGTTATGTAATTTATGTAATCAGATGTTCATAAATTCTCAAGCATTAGAATTTCATTATGGAACTCATCACAATCAGCAACAACAATGTCAATATAATTTTGAACAATATCGTCATGCTGGACAATACAATAATCATGGGCAATATAAATATTCTAGAGAATATAATCAACAACTACAATCATATCAAAATAATCGCTATCATCCATATCTTTTACATCAACAACGGAAGAAAGAACTTCATAGATCACAGCAGCAACAACTTGATCAACAACAGGACCAACACAGTTTTCATCATCAACAGCAACAATATCAAACATACCAACAACAATACAATATTAATGAACAACAGTCGCAATATCACCATCATCAGCAAATGGAAAATATCGAAGGAAATGAGCAGCAACAATGTAACCAACAACAACAAATGGACAATCACGAAGGAAATGAACAAAATATTCAACAACAGATGTCTGAAAGAAAGAGGCAATCATATGTCTTTATGTATTGCGATTCGTGCAACATAAATGTGCGAAAAAATCTGTGGTTTAATCACTGTAGAACAAACTCTCACAAAGAAAAAAGTTGTACCGTCATTGATCCTAGAATGGTATTGATAAATAGTGGTTTTCAAAATCGCATTAAAACTTATCAATATAAGTGCGAAGAAACTACAATCAATATTGATGATTTCTTTTCGAAATCTAAAGATGCAATAACAAATATGATTAAACATGCTGTGGAAACGTACGCAGTTTTAAAATTTAATATAGAAGTCGTTGGTGAATATGCAAAGATATTTGAGGATGAAATCAAGGTTGTAAGCATGGGGCATATAACCAAAATGAATCAAATAACACACTCAGATGATGTTGATGAAATATTCAATACACATGCAGACTCTATAAAGAATAAGATGTCTGAATTTCAAGAAAGGGATTCTGGATGGGCTCTATCTAAAATATTGTGGCTGGAGTTGAACCTAAATAAATCTGCTCCAATTAAAGGATCGCAGTATATTAATACTCCTAAATCGTTGCGACATAAAAAAGCGTGCTGGAACTTAAAAAATAACGATAAATTCTGCTTCAAATGGTGTTTAATTGCTGCAATGGATAGTACTCCGAATAGAAATCCAACAAGGACTTCATCATACACAATTCCGGACATAAAGGCAGAAAAAATCACCCTCCGAAATGGTGTTACTCTCAATTTCGAAGGAATGAATTTTCCAGTTGAGCTGAAAAAAATATCAGAGTTTGAAACCAACAATCCAGAGATAAGCATAAATGTATTCGGATACGATAAAGAAGTTGTTGGACCCTTATACCACACAAAAGCGGAAAAGGCGAATCATGTGAATTTAATTTTACTGGCGGAGGCAGATAAGGCTCACTTCATATTAGTAAAGCATGTTTCAAGGTAAATATAATATAAACAATGTATCAACTTGTGTATTTAACATGTTGGTTTCTTTCAGATTGATTAGGAGTCAGCTTACTACTAATAGAAGAAAAATATCAATTTGTAATAGCTGTTTCTACTGCACCCCCAGAGAAGACCTTATGATTATTCACAAAAAGTATTGTAGTCGTGTCGTCACAAAAGTATTTTAGAATTTAAGAACTTTAGAAAACAAATGGACGTACCATTTGTTATTTATGCAGATTTTGAATGTGTTTTAGAGACTGTAATAGCAGGTGGGGAAAGAATTAAGAAGCATATTCCATGTGCATATGGATTCAATATTAAATGTTCATTTGATAGTAATTTAGATGTATATCATCACTATACTGGTGAGGATGCAGCTCAGAAATTTATAGAGCAATTAGATGTTTCCCGTAGAGAAATTTACAATAATTACTTGTCTCTTAATACGCCAATGAAACCGCTATCATCTATCGAGCAAAGTATATTTGACTCAGCAGTAAATTGCCATATTTGTGATAAAAATTTATGTGATGATAAAGTTCGTTATCATTGTCACGTAACTGGTAAATTTAGAGGGGCAGCTCATAATGTATGCAACATTAATTATACGGTAGCACAATTCATCCAAATATTTTTCCATAATTTTTCAGAATATGATTGCCATTTGTTTGTTAAAGAGCTTTTGACCACTATAGAGGGAAACACCACTATAATTCCTCTAACAAAAGAAAAATATATTTCTTTATCGCATACGGTGAATATGAATCCTTATAATAGACACAAGACGTTTGAATATAGATTTTTGGATTCAATTCGTTTTATGGCTAGTAGTTTAGATGCTTTAGCTAGCTACTGTACAGATGGAGATATGATATCTATTAGAAAACATTTCACCAATGATAATGAATTCAATCTCATGAGGAAAAAGGGTATATTCTGTTATGAATATTTAAATTCCTTTGAGAAGTTGAACGATACTACCCTTCCTCCAATCGAGTCATTTTATAGTACATTAAATGATAAAAGGTGTTATATAGAGAATATGAGCATGCTATAAAGGTGTGGCAAACATTCAATTGTAAAACTTTACGTGATTACATGGAGTTATATTTAAAGGTTGATGTTCTACTTCTTACTGACGTTTTTGAAAATTTTAGAAAGTCATGTAAAAATGTTCATAAGCTTGATCCTTGTCAGTATTATACAGCACCGGGATTATCATTTGATGCTATGCTCAGGCAAACAAAAGTAGGTCTTGAATTATTAACCGATCTAGACATGTTTCATTTAATTAAGAATGGTATTAGAGGTGGTCTGACACAGTGCTCAAGGAGGTACACTAAAGCGAACAATAAATATATGAAGAATTTTGATCAAAACTCTCCATCAAGTTATTTATTATATATTGATGCGAATAATCTCTACGGTTGGGCTATGAGGCAATATCTCCCTAATGGTAATTTTCAATGGGTCAAAAATGATGATATAATAAGAGATGCTAGACAAATTCAGAACTTTAAAGCAAATTCAAACATTGGTTACATATACGAAGTGGATCTAAGTTATCCAAAAACGTTACATGATAAACATAATGATTTGCCTTTCTGTTCTGAAAACAAAAAAGTTGGGGGTTCAAAATATGACAAGCTGATTGCCGATTTTGATCCAAAGAAATCGTATAGCATGCATTATATGACTTTAAAGCAATGCTTAGATAATGGTCTGGTTTTGGATAAAGTTCATCGCGTAATTTCCTTTGATCAGTCTCCATGGTTAGCTTCATATATAGATAAAAATACTGAAGAAAGACAAAAAGCGGACAATGATTTCTTAAGGAATTTATTTAAACTTTTTAATAATGCAGTATTTGGAAAAACTATGGAAAATATAGATAAGCGGAAAGATATAAAGTTAGTAAATCATTGGGAAACAACTAACCGAAATAAATTAGGAGCTCAATCTTTGATAGCTAAACCCAACTTCCATAGCGCTACACAATTTTGCGATGATCTTTGGGCAATCCAAATGGAGAGACTCTGTGTAACTTACAACAAACCTATATATTTAGGGTTTTGTATATTAGAGTTAGCAAAATGGAAAATGTATGATTTCCCTTACGGTTATATGAAAAATAAATTTGGTGAGCGCGTAATTCTAAATTATATGGATACGGATTCATTCATATATACTATGTATACTGAAGATATCTATGAGGATATAAGAGCAGATGTTGATCAATACTTCGATACATCAGCTTACCCTGAGGATAATGTGTATAACATACCCCGACGAAATAAAAAAGTTATAGGTATGATGAAAGACGAGAATTGTGGAAAAATTATGCTTGAATTTGTTGGTTTAGGATCAAAAATGAACTCGTATACGGTAGATGATGGCGTGGAAGTTAAAAAAGCTAAAGGTGTAAAAAAATGTGTCATTAGGCGATATAACATAGAAGATTATAAGAATACTCTATTTAATGAAGTCATAGTTAGTGATACCGTGTATACTTTTAGATCTAAGATGCATGAAATTTATACAAGTGAGTTATCTAAAATTGTATTAAGTTTTAAAGATACTAAAAGAATGGTTCGCCAAGATAAGGTGAACACATATGCTTGGGGTCATGTAGCTATAGAGCGTGAAAAAAAACTTTACAAATCTATTGAATGAAGCAATTGATATTGATAATTTATTTTTTTGTTAAGATTAATGTATTTCACATATATGTATATGTTTATATCTATATAAAAAAAAAAAACGAAGAAATAAATAAACAATATAAAAAATATTTTTAAAATGTCTTTTTTTTTTCTTTATTAAATTATCAATTAATTAATGAAATGAGTATAGAATATTACAACATTTTTCGAACAATTCCATTTAAAGGATTATAGTCGATTAATCGATCATGAAGGATTAAGCAGTAAGCAGCTACACCAGCTGGAATTTGTGAATTAGTTTCAAATTCCACTTGAACATCTATTGGACCGCTTTTGACTACTTCGTTTTGGTGGCTTACATCAATTACAACAATTGGGTTTTCTTTAAACTCTTCCCATGATAATATTGGTTGTGGTTCCCTTAAAAAGTAGTTTTGTTGAAATTTCGGATACATATCGTAAAGTACGGCATATCTGTTTTCATCAAACTTCAGATTTAAATCATCGTACGGATATGCTTCTGAATTCAAATGAACTTTCACGTTTACCAAATTTGAGTGAATAAATTTTCCTTCTTTTTCTAGAGCGAGTAATATAAAGCGTGGACGTTCTCTATTAGTCGACAATTTTACATTCCAATGACATTTAGTTGCACCCTGAAACGTTGGATTAAAATGACAATCCCAACTTCGAAATGCAATAGGAAGAGGTTTTCCATTATTTATTATTCTCATAATCTGCAGCTTTGATGAATCTGCTAAGCGTACACGAGGCATCTTCCATGTTATATTATTTATTTCTACATTTAGCTTCTCGTTCGAATCGGTAGAATAACATGCATTTTGATTACTCGAACTACGCAGCATAATAAGATCATGTTTACTATTTAATATTACTTTATTATAGTCCTCTGCAAACCCCAACAGCATTTTAAGTGGAATACAAAAATTAAACATGTTCCTATTTAAATCAGCACCATTAGTCCATCCAGCATTCTTCATAATATTACTCTCAACACTTGTAAGAGAAACAAAATTTTTTATAGTGCTCGATGCTCCTAAATAGCATGTACGATCAATTTCGATACCATTTAATTCATATCGTATTTCATCAAATAAATATGCTACGCAGTTATTACGTAAACGAGCATTATCCGTTAGTGTTCCATCTGATGATGTTATTACACCTTCAACGTAGATGTAACTCTCACTTGGCAAGACATATAAATCTCGATTTTGTATTGTAATTCTAATTTCATCATTATTCTTAAAAGAACGAATGTAGGGTACATAGCTGTGATAATCTTTTTTGATTATGCTGTCATCAGAATACGGTGCGTCTTCAACATTATGTATTTCAGACATTTTCCTTTAAGTGTATTTTAACGGATTTCAAAAATTTTTTATTTTCCTCCGTCAGTCCTCGTGTTTTAGGTTTGATAACCTTTATAGGAATGCGAGACTCTTTCTGTGTTTTAATATATTTATTATATATAATCATTTTGATATAGGTCTCAAATGTAGCCGAAGAGTAGTTTCTTCACCGCGAAAATTAATTAGGCGTTGTTCTTGATCAGCAATCCAAATTTTTAGGCAACTTATTTCTTTCACATTCACAGGTAAATAAATCAAATTACGAGGTATTTCATCTATTTTATATCCAGGGGAAACATTTATTCCGAATTCATGTAAAGTATGTACAGGTGTATTATTCATATATGCTCCCGTAGTTATATTACACTGGATTTGAATTGCGTTTACTCGCAAAATATTTACTGGGAGTTGTGAGCAATGTCTTCTACCTGGTGGTAAGATACCGCCCTCGAATCCAAATAGTAAGCTTATAGAACGGTGCTGATTAAAATCGATTGAGTCATGGGAGGAAAATATTTCAAGCTGTAGTGTGTTGTTATTAGCTACAATTTCAATGGATTTTGTATTGTTTTCGTTTTTATATGATGTTTTAATATAGTCAGCTATATCCTCAAGTTCATATGAACCAATAGGAATCTCTATTATTTGTCCTCCAATATGAAATAGATTATTATCATAATCAACATTAGGTATAGAATTATATGAATGAAAATCAATTAAGGCACACTCATAATCTCCTATCACCTGAATTGGCGGAAAATAATCTGCCGTTAAAACGGATGATTTTCCCGTTAGAGCCAATGTTATTGACATTATGAGTGTTTGTTTATAAATGAAAACACACTTTTCATTACTTTATTTTTATAAATTTTTATTTAAGTTTTTTCTTTTTTTTTATAATATATCATTTTTATTTATCCATGAGTTATGATGGTTTGTAAACCCCAACCATTTTACATATACCTTATCACCTTTTGATTTTAAGACCTTTTCTACCAGGTACGTATTTGGGAAACGAGTAG